CTACGACATGGACTTCTGCCGCAGCGCCCGCACCGCCGGCCTGCGCCTGGCCACCTGGCCGATCGCCATCACCCACCAGAGCGAAGGCGGCTTCGGCTCGAACGGGTGGCTGGAGAACTACAAGAAGTACATCGCGAAGTGGGGCGACTGAGCGCCTGCTCAGAACCCGCCCGCTCCCGGCAGGGACCAGCTGTTCGAGCAATGGCGCCTGGCTGCGCGTTCCGCCCGAAATGCCGGAAGCTTGCCGGTTCGGTGCGGCCTCCGCTCATGGCCTCTCCGGACCATGTCATGCCTGCCTGCGGTGTTGCGTCGCTTCCCGATCTGAACTGAGCACGAACCGCGTACCTTTCTCTCAAGCTGGCGGTGCATGCCGGTTGTGCGCTCATCGTGGGGCGGGCTGGCGTCACATCCGCTTCTGATCGATGAGATTTCAGTGGCTGCAGTCTGGAGACTGATGTGTTCAAGCAATTCGGTGTGCCGATGATTTGCACCTTCGCCGTTATCTCGGCCATGTTCTTGGGTGCGAAAGTGGACGATGTGGGTACGAGAGTCATTGCAATCGGCTCTCTTCTACTTGCCTGCGTATTTGTGGTGCTGTTCTTGTGGAGAAACAAGGACGTCGTTGAGGGCGCTTCCATTGAGTCAACCCGCGATGTGATTGATTTCCTCAGGAAGATACTGTTCAGGAAGAGGGGCTAACTCGCCTGGCGAAGGGCGAGGCTCAGCAAAGCTTCCGGTAGACGGCATCGTTGCCAACCTGGCGCGGGTGATCCCGGCGCCCGCCAGCTCAAAGCGAGAAGTTCAGGGGCAACGAGCGCCGAGGTAATCAGGCCAAGATCGCGGCGCCTCAGAACCACTCCACCGGCAACGCCAGCCCCACGCCCTTGAGCAGCCCGGCGCGGGCTTCCTTCAGCGGCAGTGTGGGCGCCGGCCAGCGGCGGTAGACGTGCAGGAAGTCCAGCACCACGGTCGTGTTGTTGGACGACTCCTGCTGCCCGCGGCGGGCGCCGGGGTTCACGTAGTCCTTGTGCATGACGGCGCCGCCGCCGGGCACGTGCACCGGCATCGCGCGTGAGCACACGCCGAGCAGCCAGTCCCAGTCTTCCTGGGAGGCCAGGTGCGGGTCGAAGCTCAGGCCCTGCAGCAGATGGCGCCGGTAGGCCAGGCAGTGCAGGGGAATGAAGTTCTTGACCCACAGCATCGACACGTCGGCGCCGCCCAGTGGCGTGGCCTGGCGGCCGAGCTCGGGGATGCCGGGCTGCTGGCGGTCTTCGGTGACGATGGTCACGTCGGTGAACAGCACCTGCGCGTCGGCCCGTTCGCAGTGCGGCCTGAGCGTGGCGAGGTGATGGGGCTCGAAGCTGTCGTCGTCGTCCAGGAAGAGCACCCATTCGCCGCGCGCCAGGGCGAGGCCCTGGTTGCGGCTCTCGGCCGGGCCGTGGCGGCCGGTGCGCTTGACGAAGGTGTCAGTCGGCCCCAGGTCGCGGGCGACGACCGCGGCGGTGTCGGCGTCCAGCGCGTCGGCGACCAGCAGGATCTCGAAGTCGGCGCAGGTCTGCGCCCGCAGCGACGCGATCGCCCGCGCCAGCGTCGCCGGGCGGTGGTGCGTGGCCATGACGATCGAGAAGAAGGGCGCGCTCATGACCGGCGATGCTAGCCCCGGCCCGCGCCGCAGCGCAGCAATGTTGCGCTACAAGTCCGGTTCACTTCGACACATCGCCACCCGGGCCGGCTCTTAACATCGCCGCAACTTCCTGGAGAGAGGCTGTGGCTTCCATTGCCGTCATCATCCCCACGACCGGCGACGCCCTGGTGCGCGAGGCGATCGCCTCGGTGCTGGCGCAGACCGCGCCGGAGGTCACGCCCTTCATCGTCGTGGACGGCCCCGGCTTCCTGCCGGCCTTCGAGGCCGCCACGGCGGGGCTGGACCTGTCGCGCTGCCATGTCGTCACGCTGCCGGTCAACGTGGGCGGCGGTGGATTCTACGGCCACCGGGTGTACGCCGCGTTCTCGCACCTCGTGAACACCGAGCTGATCGCCTATCTCGACCAGGACAACCGCTTCCACCCCGAGCACCTCGCGCAGCTGTCCGGCGCGCTGCAGCAGGGCGGCTGGGACTGGGCCTTTGCGCTGCGCCGCGTGGTCGCGCCCACGGGCGAGCCGCTGATGGACGACGAGTCGCAAAGCGTCGGCCCCTGGGGCTCGGCCAAGCCGTATCCGCTGGTGGACACCAACTGCTATTTGCTCAAGACCGACGTGGCCCACCGCGTGGCGAGTTATTTCCACGGCGGCTGGGGGCAGGACCGCGTGTTCTACGCGGCGCTGTCGCAGCTCTTCCCGAACTACGGCTGCTCGGGCGCGTTCACGGTGGACTACCGCACCCGTGACGACCTGCAGCCCAAGGTGGTGGAGCTGCTGACGCGCGAGAACGCGGCCATCCGGCAGAAGTTCGGCGGGCGGCTGCCTTTTGTCGGACAACCCACGAAAGCGGCGGTGGCGGCATGACCAGTGTCGAGTTCAATACCCTCTACTGGGACAACACCCCGCCCGAGCAGATGCGCGCTCACCGCGCGGTCATGGCCAAGTTCGACATCGACGTGCGCTACTTCGAGGAGAACACACCGCATGGCCAATGGCTGGACCGCACCACAGCCACCAGCACGGCGGACGTCATCGGCTTCTTCGACTCCGACTGCGTGCCGCTGTCGCGCGAGCGCGTGCAGGCGTGCGTCGATTACGTGACGCGCCACGACACCTTCTGCGGCATCGCGCAGGTGGCCAACCACATCCTGCCCCGCACGCATGTCTATGCCGCGCCGGCCTTCTTCCTGATCACGCGCAGCTGCTGGGAGCGCCTCGGGCGCCCGAGCTTCGTGCACAACCCACGGTCCGACGTGGGCGAAGAGATCACCCGCGCCGCCGAGATGCTCGGCCAGCGTTTTCGCGTGCTCTACCCGGACACCTTCGAGCGTGAACCGCGCGAAGGACTCTGGCCGCTCGGCCACTATGGCTACTACGGCATCGGCACGGTGTTCGACCAGACGGTCTACCACCTCTACCAGGGCCGCTTCGCGAGCAACCTGCAGCTCTTCATCCAGCGCTGCGACGAGATCGTGGCGGGCAACTTCAGCAACGCCAGCCACACCTCGGCGCGGACCTTCGACTATGCCGGCCGTGTCGTCGGTGCCTGAGATGCGCGCCTACCGCCACCGCCTCGTCACGGCCGGGCAGTCGTCGCCGCTGTACCTCTCGGACGTGCCGCTGCTGTGGCTGGACAAGCTCTCGCAGATGCTCGGCCGGCCGCTGTCGGTGTTGGACGTGGGCTGCGGCCTGGGCGATCAGATGCGCCGCATGCGCGAGCGGCTGCCGCAGGCGCTGGCGCGCGTGGGCGGTGTGGATTGGTCACCCGCGACGGTGCGCTTTCACGCCAGCTCCGGCATCTACGACGAGATGCTGCTGGCCGACTCGGCGGCGCTGCCGGCGGCCGACCAGTCCTGGGACGTGGCGCTGTCGATGGAAAACCTCGAGCACCTCTACGGCGAGCAGTCGATCGCGGCCATCCGCGAGCTGGCGCGCGTGGGGCGCAGCGTCATCATCACGACGCCGCTGCCGCGCGATGTCGTGAACCGGCCGTGGCTGCTCGGCGAGATCGCCGAGGCCGAGGCCGACCCGCTGCCGCTGCCCGCGCAGGAGTACGTCTGCCTGGAAAGCGCGGTGCACAAGTCGGCGCTGGACCCGGCGTCGATGGCGGATGCGGGCTTCACCCACGTGCAGACGACGCCGGCCCACGGCCACTACTTCGCGATGTCGGCGCAGCTGCGGCCTGAACACCTGCGCTGCATCGGCATCGACGAACCCGCCGCACCGTCGGGTGACGACCACCGCGCCCGCTACGTCACGCTGCTGCAACGCTCGTTGGCGCTGGGCGACCGCCTGGCGCAGGCCTGGCCCGGGCGCTGAAGGCAGACGGCATGCGACGCTTCGCCGTCATCGGCAGCTCCCACCTCTTCGGGCTGATCCAGCAGTTCGTCGGCCCGGTGGATTCGGGCGCCTACCAGTTCGTCTGGGACACCGGCGTGCCGGCGGTGGCCGAGCTGCCGCTTGGCATCGACGGCTGGCGAGGCGACTTCGTGCTCTACAACACCCCCGCGGGTGGCCCGCCGCCGGTGCTGCAGGGCGATGTGCTGTTCATCCCGCCCCAGCTCACCGCCATCTTCGGCGCGATTCCGGCCGGCGTGGACGTCATCTTCTCGGTGCTGCGCGGCCAGGAGTTCGCCATCTCGCAGCTGGTGGACGACCCGACGCACGCCGACTTCATCGACGAGGCCGGCGGCTTCGAGCCCGGGCGGCGCTGGATGAGCCGCGCCGACGCCGAGGCGTGGGCCGCCGAGGTG